TAAATATATATATTTCTAATATTAGAGGTTATTTCAATCTATGTAAGAAAATTGTTTTGAGAACTAGTAAATCCTTGTGTACGTTCCGTTTTTCTGACTACATTGCATGCTTTAATATAATACATAGAGCGAACATTATCCAAGAGTGTTTGCAATAAGGGTTTGCAATTATTATATGAACTTATTACATTACATTCAATTAGCAATCCAATAATATTCAATTCTTTGAGAAAAAATTTATCTTCTTTTTCTTTATAATTATGTATTAATTTATTATATTCCCATATCAAATCAATACTTTACATGTAAAATATTACCACCCATCTATATTAATTGATTCAAGAATGCTCTCGTATGCATTATATATATCATATAAAGTTTTTATTTTAAAAAATAATTTCCATTCACATATTATATTTTAGACATACATCTATTATATATATAATTAGAATTATTGTTTTTAATATATTCAAATATATTTTTATTCTTTCACATTCTGTAGTTACATTAATTTCTATCTCTTCTTGAATACTTAAGATTTTAACTTATATGCTAATATCATATGTATTCATGGTTTATCCCCGTATGTTGTTGAATACATCTCTAAAAAATTTGTGATTCTTAAATGTGTAACACTAAAGAATTATATATAAAATATAAATAATATATGTTAGAATGTAAATATAAAATAAGTAAATTATTTGTTAAATTATTAATGATGTTCATATGAATATTGAGACAAAACTTAATTTCCTCCTAATATATAAAATTTACCGTTTCACATGTCCAATCACACGACATTATATCTTTTAAAAAGAAAAATATATTTAATATTATAATTATATTTTATATGAATAATAAATCAATCTAAAATTAAATAAAACTAAAATATATTCTTCATATTTCTTTTATTAATTATAAATCTCAAAAAAAAATGTTTTCTAGATTGTAAATCTATTTATATGTATACTATATAATTTGCTGTTGACGTTTTTAAATCAATGAAAAATAAATAGGAATTGCAACTAATATATTAATATACATATTTTATCATAATATACGGTAAAATAAGTACACGAAAGTATTATTAAAATAAATAATTTATACTTTTATGTATATATTACACATTAAAATATATAATCCATTATTAATATTAAAAATACGTTGAGGAATAAATATTGTAAAATATATATATTTCCCTTTGAATTAACATAACATGATCAAATATATGAAAAGATTTATTATATGTACTAACCTAGTATGTATTTTTCTATGATGTGAAAAAATAATTTTAATATATTTATTATGGATATGTATATTCAATTTAAATTATTTTATTTTCTATTTAATATGCTGAAGAAACTACGTTTTTAATGTAAATTAAACTTTTATTTCAAATGAAAATATCTAAGGAAAATAAGTAGTAGTATAGAATATATTTTTTATGTAAATACAAACCCTTTTACAGTTATAAGAAGTATAAAATATCATGTACAGTTAAATAAAGTTTAACGATATTATCAAATAAAGGTTTCATGTTTTATCATTAAAATAATGGGTAACATTTATTTCATATAATACATTATAATTAAATCAATTTATTATTTTTTTTGAATATAAGAATTCACAAAAAAAGGGACATATATATTTTAACCATTTAAAATATAGGAGGAAAATATATTATGCGTTCTTTAAAACAAAACTAAAATTTGTATGATAAATAAGATTTTGAAAAACAGTTCTTATTATTATAATAATATTTTCATTCTTTGTTAATGTGATAATATAAAAGTTATAAAGAGATATTTTAATGTATGTAAAATATAATTGCATCAATTAGAATGAGTGAAATTTTTTTTTTAAATTATATAGGTTTTTGAATATATAAGTAAAAAAGTATATACAATAATATTGTGTAATATTCATGTATATACATAGATATATTTTTTTAGGAGTATAAAAAAAATATGATAATATTATTATTCCAGAAAATATAAATTACAACATTTTATATAAAATAATATTTATAAATTAAATGTAAATGTTATATTAGAAAAATATTACATGCCTTTATCTTTATAATAATTTTTATTTCACTGTTCAAACACATTAATAACTTAAGGATATCAAATATATAAAAAATAAATTAAGTTAATATAGCTTCGTTAATAAGTTCTTAATTATAAGATATGTTGTCTTCTTTTTTTTCTATATTTATATGGAGAAATGAACTCATTTATTGATGGCATAAATAAAAATATCAATGATATGATTAAAAGCATCCCAAATTCTGAAGACGTCCAAAAAATAGAAAAAGTAATAATTTAAATAACGAATAATAACACAAAAGGAAAAGCTAATTTA